TGTGGGGGTTGGCCAGGGCGCGGAGGGTTATAGGGTTGTGTGGGCTGACCAGGGCGCGGAGGGGTATAAGACATGTATGGCAAATTTTGCTGCATGCTATTCATCTGTGGTGGAGTTGGCATCGGTATCGATTGTTGTTGGTTAGATGGATAATTAGGACTTTGATATGGTCGTGTATGGGGATAAGACATTGGAGGATTCTGAGTTGAATAACTTCCGCTTTGATTCTGAATTGGGCGATTCTGAATTGGATAATTGGGGTATACAGCACTTTGATTTGGATGGCCACTACCTGGATTTGGATTTGGATTTGGGTAACCACCTTGACCTGGATTAGAATAACCGCCGCCTTGATTCAAATTTGGATAGCCACTACCTTGATTATAATTCTGGTAACCACTCGGATTCTGAATTGGACGGCCACCCACATTTTGAGCAGAGAAGCCACCTGGGCCCTGAACTGGAGGATTAACCGGATTTCTATATGGGTAACCACCACCTTGATTATAGGCCGGGTAGCCACTGCTTTGATTCGGAACTTGATAACCACCACCTTGAATAATGCCTTGATTAGGGCGGTAATTAACATTCTGTATGGGAGCATTACCAGGACCGTAAGGTGTTTGATTTGTGACAATATTACCACCATTAGGTCCTACAAATTATAATTCATTTGAGTCAGGAGTTGATAAAGCAATTTTCACCAAGGCTCGTATTATAATTTGAGAATTTGAGTAATAATTATGAAGTTAATTATACCTATTACATTTGGATTCGAAGGATATTGGTTAACGTGTGGTTGTATTGGTTGTATTTGTTGTATTGGCTGTTTTTGTTGTATTTGTTGTGTAGGTGGTTGTTGTGTAGGTGGTTGCTGTGTAGGTGGTTGTTGTGTAGGTGGTTGTTGTATAAATGTTTCATACCATTTAGGCTCCAACCGAATCTTATCAAGTTTATCTCTCATCTCTTCAATATCTGGACGCAGTGATGGGTCACCATTCCACGCCCTTTCGTATAGGGTCTTGTAATCTATTGGTGTACCAGATATAAACCGTTCCCTTGTTCCTTTCGACACCTGTTCTGCTATATCTAGGATGGACAGATTATTGAAAGGGGGGATACCACTTGATATTTCCCAAAGCAGTACACCCAAACTATATATATCTGATTTTTTGTCCCGTTTGTAGTCAGGGTTTCTGAAGCATTGTGGTTCAATGTAGCCAGCCATACCCACCACAACAGATGTTGAATTTGATACACCACTTTTGGATAAGCCAAAGTCAGTTATCATCATTTTATCATTGTGCACTAATATATTTTTTGAATGCTATGAAAAAAATCACAACGTACTGATTAATATCTAACATTCATGACGTAAACGATTAGTGGTGATAATAATAATTATTATTATTACCAGATCACGATGCACAATCCCTTGAGCATGAATACACTTTAGTCCACTCGCTATTTGCTTTCCCATATTAATTCTTGTAGGCCAATCAAGGGTGGCATGTTTTTCGCGCAAATATTCGCGAAGATTTCCACCATTAGCATATTGTAATACCATGATATATCTTAATGTCGCAGGATCTATACATAAAGAAAAATAAATTCATAAAGAGAAAAATAATATAATAAAATAAAATAAATAAAACTTACCTTGACTTAAGCCAAAGAATCGAACTACGTTGTCATGAAAATCAACGTGCCGAATCAATTGAAACTTTAAATAAGAAAGGTTAAAATATGAAGTTTGAATCAAAATAACATTAAAGCATTACTTTACCTCATTTATAAGATCTTCAAAGGAATCCTTGGACGTTGATCCAGGATCAGCATACAAGGTTTTCAGCGCAACGAATTTTTCGGCACTATTCCAGAAAGCTTTTGAGACTTCACCAAAAGCCCCCCGCGCTATAGCTTTGACGTTAGAAAAATTGTCATAAGTGATGAATTGGATATGGCCCTCCTCTATTGATTTTTGTAACCAGTTTTGGGTTTCAGACATTTTTTTATTTTCTATTAGTTACGAAAGAACTGCAAAAAATTTTAAATATAATAATTTTCTATAGTATATATAAATTGAAAAAGAATATTCGATTGTTCTCCCATACATGTCAGAAATTATTGGACAAAAGTTACCGTTTTACTACGTACGTACGTATGTACGTACGTACCAACATCAATCAGAATTTATATTAACAGTTAAGGACGTAATATGGAGGATTATCAATTAAAACAGCCCTTTTTTACATGTAAATCATTTTGAGTAAATCAGGTTTAAAAAAAAA